CCCAACGGTTCATGGTACTTCTTCAAAAAGGTCCCAAATTGATTGAAGTTAATGCCAATTCAGAGACGATCACTGAACTTCTGATAATTTCAAAGCCCCTTGGATATTTTTACAAGGATTCAGATTGATTAATTATTCAGAAAACCTTCTACTGGCCAACTGTTCAATCAGATAATCCCTCACATATGTCTTCACTTTGTTAGCTGAATCAGAGATTATTAAAAAACCGTATCATGAAGATTAGCTTATTTGAAGATCTGGAACTGATTGTTTAAGAGACGACTCTCGAATATGATGCCTTCAAGTAGATCAAATATTATGCTGAAGATCTTGGACTGATAAAAAAAACAATGACGTCTCATAAGCAGTCTTTTAAGGTGCAAGCTAGATCAGGGACTATTCGAAAGATCTACAGATGACCTAAAATCCCTTTGATTTTTTTTATAAACTCTTCTGGTAGATCAGGGAAAATTCAGGTACCTGTAACAAAAAATCAAATTACGTCTTCAGATAGGGATTTTAATAACATAAAAAATATTTTAATATTATGTTGTCCGTGTTGCGCACCGTAGTCCAACTGTTTGAATTTTGGGCTGCTGTAATAACGCTAATTTCAAATAACAGACTAAAGCGATAATTTTGATACGATAGATGACGAGATGGAAGTATAGAATTGATAGTTCCGTTAGAGTACGGCAGTGTGAAATCGGGCAAGGCCGCCCTCTGTCGAACCGGGAAGGGAAACTCTCCTTGGTGTTTAGGGCCTTCAGCCCGAGAACGATGTCCTTTACGTTTAGGTCAAGGTAACTAAATGTCACCCAGACCGTAGCGTGCAATGGCGGTCCTTGACTCGCCAACCAGAAAACCATTTGATTGGTTGAAAAAGAAAGGTCCTGAATCAGCTGAATTGGTGATTTACACTTCACCTTGATTCACTACTCGCACTGTATTCTGTTAAAGTGTATTCCACAGACACTTCAGGTCTACACGCTCGCCTGAGATAAAGTGCACGATGGCCGTTCTCTAAGCATCGCAGAACTCTTCAGCTCATCACCCGTGACTCCGTGTCACCATTTTGCCGCGGCCATGCGCGCCTTATTCAGCAGTCGGCCGTTAAGCATGGCCGTATCGTCTGCCCAGTGGGTTTCACCGCAAGTGTTACACAAATTTATTTGAATGCTCGATCACATGGTGCATATTTAAAATATTGTATTGGACCTTTGTAACAGAACGGTTACAATATTGTGGATAATGACGACCCAACGTTCGTCGATCTTCTCAACTTTCTTAAAAGGAAGTATGAAGCGTTGGAGACATGTGCAGCATTCGGTGGAAAACCCTCGGAGTACGGCAGAAAGGAACCTCATAGAGATGACCGCAGGCAACTCACCGCGATAAAGGAAATCAAGGCATTCAAAGCAGTTCAACCAACACTCAATACGAAACTAACGATTTTAAATTGGCTCACCACTTTAGTAGCCTATTGGTCCCAAGCAAACGATTAACGTACCCTATTCTAGTTGAAATTCTATTACTACACTATGTTTGTTTTGATTCGCTATGAAAGTTTGACAGATAACATCAGGGGTGTGTGGATTCATGCAGAACATGCAGGGGTGAGTGAAATAGCTTGGGACTGCTTGGGACCGTTGTTCTGGTACTGAGTGAGCCAAAAATAATAATGATTTTCTTCGGGACCCAGTGGTCTTAGAGTTACCTCTATGGTTCAACCATAGAGGTAACTCTAAGACTAGAAGGTCCCGAAATAACGTGCTCAACTTTTTGACTCAGCTCTGGTACTATCTTCGGTCCTAATAATAATAATCGATTCACCCCTCGAAACATAGGAAAAACCAATAACCCCTCATTTTATCTATCAAACTTCCATAGCAAATCAAAACAAACATTGCGTAGTACTAGAATTTTGACTAGAATGGGGTACGTTAATCGATTTGCTTGGGACCAATAGGCTAGTCAAGAAGTGAGCCAATTTAAAATCGTTAGTGTCGTATTGATTGTTGGTTCAACAGCAGTTGTGTCTGGTTTGCGCGGAAAGCCACAGGATTTATGAGTGCATCGTCTTCAAGGAATCTTCTGTCAACGAAAGACGCAAACGAGTGCAGCAAGCGAAACTATTAGCGAATTCGTTTATTATTCAGTTCCAACCTGGAGCGGGTATCAAGATTGGGTCTGCTTGTTTTCTGACAAACGTCAGTTTGATCTTTTTTTTTTAACCCAGCTTCGCACTGACAAAAAGTTCGGTTTCGCACTGGGTTGGAACCAGGGGTTTGACATATAGCTGAATACACGTGCTCAACATCAAAACAACAAAACATATCATGGTACCGCTGACAACGTTGCAGATGTTCGGTACGCAGTAAACTTAAGCGATATGACAGCCATATCCATCCCCTGGTTGGAACTGGTTCTAACCCCGATAATAAACGAATTCGCTATATGATTAAATTGTCTGAGACCAAACCATTGCGCCAAATCCTCTCCGTCGAAGTCGGTATGCCGCACACCACACTGTCAACAACGTCACCATACGATGCTGTGCAAGGCAGACAACAATGAGCTAACATCGACCCCGCCGTCAGAAAAGCAAGTTTCGTCTTCGCCTTCACTACAGCAGCCGCAAAGTTCTGCAGCAGTCGACATCAAGCAAGCGGTGTCCTGCACGACTAACGTCAAAAACAGTTGTTCTTCGGTTGTCATCGGCCTACTACCAACGGCATTAGTACGAGTTAAGCGAATTGATGGTCAGTGCCAGGAAGTACGAGTGATAATTGATAGCGGTTCACAAGCATCACTTATCACGGAGAATTGCTTGAATAATCTCGGATTGCAGCGAAGCAACGCTAATCTGATTGTCACCGGAATCGCAAGCTGCTCATCGGAAACCACCAGAGGAGTTGTCGACCTGGGAATTTCTTCTCGCTTTTCCTACAGTTCGGTGGTCAACGTCAACGTCCAAGTTTGTTACCGTTTTGGTTCCTGTACCCTATTGATTCTCTTCGAGCGAGAAAAATCAGGAGATAGCGAGAGCGAGGAATAGGGTATATGGGTGTTCATTGTGAATTCAATCCGTATGTCAGTTTCTTGTATGCAATATTGTTTTGTTTTGAATGTAAATATAATTAAATATGTAAGGCAAATGAAAGACCACTCCCAAACCAACGGTCTAATTAAATATTGTAACCCAGTCACACCAACAACACATAACACAGAACACATAACGGGAAGGAGTAAGGATGAAGGTGGGCGTTGGAAACAGAAGAAGGATATGGACAAGGGGTGGTGGAAAAGTGGGAGGAAGGTGGAAATGGGCTTAGGTCAAGGGGGAAGCTACTGGGTCAAACTGAAGAGAAGGTTCTCTTTCACTTCAGCCATTGCGCGAGATAGTTCAGTCTGCCAAGTTTGCTATAAGTTTTGGAAAAAATAGTGAAAAGTTACCAACAAATACCGGCTAATACCACCGAATACGGAGTCAGGTAGGACCTAATCAATAACCCGGTAGCGGAATTCCCAGCCCTAAGACCACCTCTCATATTCCCTTCAGAACCTATTAATTACGGGCTAAACCACGAGGGCGTCCATTAACACGCCAACACCTGTGTAGCAAGCGTCCATCGGTAATACACCGACAACCACTGGGAGATCACCGTCGATCACCCGATCGAGCCCCAGTGCCATATCCGTCGTGCCACACGGTGACAACCGTCGAGCACCGGCATATACTGTGAACAGTCCGTTCATCCGCCGCCGAAAAACCCCACCCGCTGCAGAATCCCGTCATTGCTGGCCAGCAATCTACACACCCACACTACAGACATAACAAGTGAGTGAGAGAATAAATAGTAAAAGTGATAAAGAGGTGTTTTGTACTTTGGATCAGTGTCGACAAGCCAGGAGCCGACCTTGAAGCTCCCGGGTTTCAAGCTCGAGCTAGCCAACAGGCTATTTTGGAAGACGGCAAAGGTAAAAGATGGATCGGGACTTCCAGTGGCGATCAACTCAACTTTTGGATGGATTGTTGCCGGTCAAGTTTTCGACGCCAGCGAGGTGAATTGCAACACGACCATCATCAGTCTCAGCATGGACATGGACATCTACAAGGTTCTTCGGAAATTTTGGGAAGTTGAAGAGGTCAACAGACCGAAACCTTTGACACAGGAGAAGCAGCAAGCAGTGAATTTCTTCAATACTACGCATCGGTGAGATGAAACTGGTAGATTTACAGTGCGTTTACCGTTCGACGAAAGCAAATCCGCATTAGCGACTGAAGGCGATGGAAAGGAGATTCGTTCGAAATCCAGGATTCAAACAGATGTACGGTGAGTTCATGACCGAGTACCTTAATCTTGGTCACATGGAGAGGATTCCAGACGACGAGGTTAACTTTTCGTCGGAGAAAAGTTTCTACCTTCCACATCACGGTGTCATGCGGCAAGACAGTGTCACAACCAAATTGACTGGACCGAAGGTCCCCGAGGACTTGCCTGTCATCCTCGACCGTTTTCGTAGCTACGCTTCGCCTTTATTGCGGATGCAGAAAAAATGTGAGGACGATGCGGACTGGGGATTCCTGAGCTGTTAACTGAGAACTTTCTAAGCCTGTACCATTTTTGTATTAGTGGCAGGTACAATCATACTCTATGCCCAGGGAAGTCGAGAAATTTTTCAACCAGAAAAATTCCTAGACTGGACCGGGAGTCGAACCGAGCCGCCCTTTAGCATGGTATTGCTGTATAGCTACGCTTTTTCCGACTGAGCTATGGGAGGCACTTTTAAAAAACATCAACTAATTTAATTCTTATAGTTTAAAAAAATCATGTTGCTACTAAATTAGGGGGCATTCGCCCTCCCTTTTGGTTATGCTTGCTGATCCAAGCGTCACCCTCAAAAATCTGAACTATCCGCAACACTAAGTCTGGCAACATTTAGTTCCAATCTCATACATATCATTTCAATAATCATTTTTTCATCTTTCTTCTCAGCTTCTTCCTTCGCACTACTCGACCGGACAGCTGATCCTTCGATGTTTGGCCGAAGTGGGTACCGTCTACTCGGAGGTGTCACAAGCACCTCTTGAAAGCAGTCGGAAAGAACCCATACCAGAGCGAGGTAAGTTGTGCTTTAAACCCCCCACAGTTGAACCAACAACCCTGAAGGGAATTCACCGAACTTCCAACGTCGTCGGTCGTTATGAAATTTAATTAACTCACTAATCGGCGTGTTTATTAGAATGCCGACTCCCCAGCTCCAAGCAGCAATCACCTACCGAAATTAGCCCATTGATCGCGTTGGCTCCACAGGCTACGTGTGTGTGGGCATAAGCTAAAACGCCCCATCAATTCCTCTGCAAAGTATTTCACATTTCTCCGAAAGGTGCATCTCATCCCACATTCCCTCGCATGTTTGTACACTCAAATGAATACGTTGTTCACATCACAGCTTTTGCGACTGATGTAATCACCTGTCGAACTCATGCGGTGCGAGTGCGTACATACACACACTCGTGTTGACATGCTTGAAATTTGTAATCACGCTTGTTAATTTATGCAAAGTACGCATAAATTGAAACTTTAACATGCTGGCAACGCGGCGTCAAATGGCTGGCACAACACAACGATGCACATGGTGGTGGGTCAGACGCGCGATCTTTATGGTGGCTTTGGTTGGTTTTGGACCGGTTGAATGGATCGTTGTGTTATATTGGAAACCATTCAGTTTGCTAGAGCATGCACCTGCTGAGCATCGAGAGGGTAATGTATGCGTAAACAATTGAACCAGTAGTGTGTTATGTAACGTGACACGTTTCCAATCGGATTCAAGTCAAGTGCCAATCATGGGAAATCGGCGAGGTCGCTGCAGAGATTGGCGGTCGATTGGAGGTTGTTCGCAAATGTTTGAAAGGACCTTCATGAGTAAGTGCCAGAAAATTAAACTGCTGGGAAAATGTCTCGAAGGATATCTTAAAGTTGGTAAAATAGGATTGGTCGTTGTCGTGCATCTAACATATCATTCATTCATTAAAACATTATTGTTACAGGTTGTATTCTAAACTGTTTTCCTCTTCAGAACGAAAGTTCTATTTAGTAAAGTTTTTCTTTGCCACAATCAACAATGGATCTTCCTCTTTGTTACTTCTTGGAAAACAGCGTACTTAAATGTAGTAGTTCATAAGCACATTCCAAGAAAACCCGACAAAGGGGGAGGGGGAGAGCACAAAACTTTTGTCCAGTTATTCACAAATCTCAAATGGCACACCATCGCCGAGCAGATATAGGAGAATTATTGGAAATACGATTCTTGAGAAGCTTGGAGTTTTGTTGTTTCATCCATTCAGTACAGAAGACGGATGGCGACAGAAAAAAAGCAGAATTGTGTACAACTTTAAAAGTGCAAAAAATAACATAAAAGTGTCACCCCAATACAGTCGTCGATCCTTGGCTACCTTTAGCGAGGACGACGACGGCGACGACATGGTGCGGTGAAAAAAAAGTTTTGCAATAAATAAACTTTTTCCTTCTGTGCTGCTTTGTGGGTAGGTAGGTACTGCAGCATTCACACTGATGCACTCTATGGTCGGTCGAGGTGTTGTTCCATTTTGTAGACGCTTTGCCAAACGGGATGTGTCGGATAAACCTAGTGGATTCGTCTGTCACATGACTGTGTGCGGTGGGAGATGCCGACAGGGAGTCCAAACGTGTGGGATATAAGTACACTTGATTGCAGACTTATGTTTTCGGAAACTTGACTTCGAAACCGGAAGAGGGGAGATTCGAAGGAATCGATGAGATTTCAACGAATTTGCCAAGTGCAGTTTGTGGTTGTATAATAAATATGAATTATTTGATATTTATTTTTTCAGTTAAAGTTGTGGTGAAAATATGTAAAATTTCTTAACGATAACTGAACGTCGTGGGTCTTCAAGTGTTTTGAGGCATAACATCTCTGATCACGTCTTCCTTCGGGGAAGGGAAGTGGTTTGTGTTCCGTCGATTTTGTTTTCCGTGCTGAGCACCAATGCTACCGACGCCAGGGAGGCAGCTCATGAACCGGGGACCAACGGCTTTACTCCCTTCCTCAGAACATCCCGGAAGCGCCGACTGGGATTGGACCCAGGCCTGCTGGGATGAGAGGTAATCATGCTCACCACCGGCGCCGCTTTGTGCGAAATAATAAAAGAAAAATATCGACGAGATCTGTTTGAAATCTGAAGTGATGTTTCGGAAAAAACCCATTTTTGACATTGATGTTTACTTGTTAGGTCCCATTCACCTTAAGCCCGCTGATCAAAGTGCCCAACCCAACGAAAAGTCTGGAGCTGTTCTGGTTAGGTCCATGCACAATTATTATTATTATTATTATAATAATAATTGTGCATGGACCTAACCAGAACAGCTCCAGACTTTTCGTTGGATTGGGCACTTTGATCAGCGGGCTTAAGGTGAATGGGACCACAATGTATCCGGTAGTGTAAAAATCCACGCATGTTAACCCCTACCCCTAACTTTGACTTTGAAGTTTCGTGCTTGAAGTTCTTCGTAGAGTAAATAAACACTCCGAATACTTTACGCCGACAATGACATAACTAACGCATTTATTGATGAATTTAGAAAATTGTAGTACCTCTAGAATTCCTAGGGTCTGCAGATTATTGTGATTGTTAAAAGATTGATAATAGGGTTGTCAACTTTTTTTAAGCGAAAGAGTCGTTATACGTTTTTTAAAGGTGTGTTTATGGGTTTTGCAAGTGGCTTAAGATCTATGATTTAGATTAATGGGCCCAAATGTTCATAATTAGCCAGAGTATATTCATGGTTATATAAAACTTGAGTCATTTAATATCTGGACGCAAAAAAAACGGAACTATCTCGGAACCATCTTAATGAAATAAAAATCTTTTCTTCGAATAACACTCATCTTATTTTGGACACTCTGTTGTCGATCCTGAGTCCTCTGTTGCTCTTTCCACTCTTCTTCAACTTCTGTTTGAGAATTGCCCAATATTTTTCAATTGGACGGAATTGAGGGCAGTTGGGTGGATTGATGTCCGTTTCGAAGAAATCTACCCCGTTGTTTCGATACCACTGTAGAACTTCTCCACTGTACTGGCAGCTTACCAAATCAGGCCAACACTTTGCAGGTCCATAGTGAGCCTTAATGTACGGAAGAATATGTTTTTTTCAGGCACTCCTGCTTGTACATTTTGAAATCCAGATCATAAGAGTTAAGGATTTCCCTTTAAGGAAGTCCAAAAAATATATTCTTGGAGCTATGCTCCACTTTTATTCAATGATGGGTTAAGACTAATTTACAAATTCGACTTATGCTACGAAGTTAGCTCTTGGTTAGTATCGAGTGTGGGAACAATGTGGGTGTTTATTTGTTTCTGCAAACGCTGCTAATGCGTTCTGGTGATTCTCCTGCTGGTAATCCCTAATAAAGATAAATTAATTAATTAATTCTCCTGCTGGGTGGTCTGGTGACATCATGCTATCGGTGATCGTCGTGATTCCAGTGAAAGTGATCCAATCTGACTATCGTCTGGCTTGGCATACAATTAACTGATTCGGCTAATCGATGAAAGTGTTTATTGTTTGGGATCTAGTGTGATGGTGGAAATCTGCTAAAAGCGGGTCGCGTTGTTACTAACTTAAGCTTTCTTGCAAATTTATCGGTAAAAACGAACGTCCATGAGGGTGCATCCTTCGTACTTTGTAAGAACCTCATTGCACAATTTCCGGGCACGTCTTTTGGTCACTAGATGCTGCTTCAGTGTCCTGTTTGGTTGCTTACTGACCTGAAAAGATCGGAAATACTTCTCGCTGACGAATCCTTCTGACGGTGCTTTGGCTGGCATTGCATTTCTTGGCGATTTCATAATCCGACAGCCCTGGGTTTGCCCTAACCGTTCTCAACACCTTCAAATGCAGCTTCCTATCCTTAGTTCCACTACGACGCTTGCTATGATCCTGCCGATCGATACCCAAGTAACATTGCAAGTTTTATAGTGGTTTTAAAGCATGCTACAAGTCTAAATCATGGTCTACAGAACCCTCATAAAACCAAAATTGTTACTTGGGTAGTATGCCACTCACGGAAACGTTCGATTTAGCCAATTTCAACGGCTACGTGATTTTTCAAGTGGGTGTCCAAAATTAATTTTCGGTTCGCGGCTTCCATCAAGTATAACTTCTTTTAAACAACATGAATCGTGACGAACTTTTCAACACTGAAAGCGGAAACATTTCAAAACAAACTACTGTAAACACATTCCAGATTCTATCGCTAGGAGCACTGCATTAGGCACTGCTTCCCTTCAGATAACGACGTGAGTGCACTACAAACGATAGAACCGTTTCCACACATCGTAGGTACATGAGCAAATCGATGATCATCTTTTTTTGCCAGTGGTGGCGGGGAGATATCCCACACCATCCCTCTCCAACTGGGTAGTGTGGTAAAGAGAGATGATCAACCCGATTCGTACCTTCCTCAAAGTTCTCCTTGCTCGCTTTCTACTCTCTATATACATTTTTCACACTGCCGTACTCTAACGGAACTATCAACTCTATTCTTTCATCTCCTAATCTATCGTACAAAAATAAAATTTTAAGTCTGTTATTTGAAAACTTAGCATCTTCAATCATGTTAAAAAAAAAGAACTGTGATATAAGAAAGATTAAGGGGTCATGGCATGAACATGGACCCGGATGGCCATGGTACCGTCCTCCGGAAGATCCGGAAAAGTGGTTAATCCATGAAACTGATCCAAGGGTTCCACGATTTTTTTATTTTCAAAAATAGTAGGAACTGTGATATAAGAAAAAAATTGGGGTCGTGACATGAACATGGACTCGGATGAATATTTGACCGTCCTCCGGGGGATCTGAAACGTTCGTAAAAATGCTAATTCCATGAGAAAGTTTTGTGGATTGATGTTCCGGATCTTCCGAAGGACCGTTGTCTCCACCATCCATATATAGGAACCATGACTGTATTCTGGATGCTGTATTATAAACATATGTGCCCATTAATCTTAATTATAGATCTTCAGCGAGGGAGGCGACTCTATCTATGATGCAGGAAAAAAATTGGTTTGCGTTTGTGAGATG